GAGTGTCAGATAGTACTTGTAAAGTCTCACATACGTATGCCAGTTGTAGATCAATGTCATTCGTTGTTGAAGTAAAGTAAACGTTTTTGTAGGTATATCTGAGGGGGGGCTATAATTTTGATATACCCTGTATATCTGGCATTCAGCAACCAATATTGTTTTCCCGCATATGTCGTTCTTCTGGACCAGTTTCACCAGCGAATGGCATTGAAACTTATGACACAAACTGTGAATGGTGGCCATGTAACAATCCATACACATCTTGTGATTCACTTTGGAATTGTCTTAATGGTATCGATGAACTTAATTATTCCAGTATAAGTTGTTCATTAAACGAATTTGAATGCAGAAACAATGATTTGAATTTAACTTATTGTTTACCATCTGTTCACATGTTCCATAAGCGGAAAGATGACTGTCTGAAAGATAGATATATTACGAAACTCTACTTCGACAATGGAACACATGACATTAGCAAATATTACTACTCATTTAACAAATCCAAATGCATCAGTGAAGACAACTTGTATAATTCCAATTCAGAAACAACAAATGCACAAGGAGACGTATGTACTCAAAATCAAATATATAAGTTGAAAGCCTTGTCGGAGAGAGTCTACATGGTCGATAATAATAATACATACCTATGCACTATTGAATATTCAATAAAAATACTTTATATTTCTAACCCTCGCTTCTTGGTTCCTTCGCGACTTGGCTATTTTCCATCAACAACATCTACGACTTATGTTGAAAACATTCTTGATAAATATGAAAACAAAAAGAATATACCTATGATGAATACTACACTTGCTTGGTATTGTCATTATGGTGTTCTTACTCTATTTAAGGGTGTTAATCAGACAAAAGCATGTCTCTGTCCACCAAATTACTTTGGTTCTCAATGTCAATGGCAAAGTCAACGTGTTAGTTATTTATCAATTAATTATCATGCTTATTGATGAACAAGGAAGTATTGTATCTAATCATGAACAAAGAACATATATGCGCGCTCATGATTGTAAAACAAAATTTAACATCTATCTACTTTATCCACATCGTTCCAAACATTCATCAACAAATTATTCGATTCGTGTTGATCTTTTTGACAAGTCAACATTAGATTATTGGACGAGTTGGTATTTGCCAATTCCATTTCAGTTTCTACCTGTAAATCGAATATCGACTCAATTAATCATTCATGAAGTACGAGAAAATACAATATGTACACTGTCATGTGGAGAACATGGTCGATGAATGAAATATACAAATATGAACAATTTATTTTTTTGTCGATGTGATCAAGGATATTCTGGTACTTTCTGTAATATTACACATCAATGTCAATGTTCAAATGACTCATTCTGTCTTGNCTACAAACACTGAATGTTTCATCGAAACCAAAGATCATTTTTGTATAATGTGATTGAGACCTTATGGACATATTCAGCTATAAAACTAAAAACGTTCGATCTCCTCAGAAACAGGCCATAAGCACGAACCCGTTTTATGGTGGACATAGGGCACTAAGGTCTACAAGATGCACTAAGTCCCGGCCGAAAATCGCTCGGGCACCTGGGAATGTTCCCTTGTAAGTCACCAATTCAGAAAAGATGTAATTCCTGCCCTGATTCGCGCATACACCTGTGCTGATCCTCTCTTTGCTTGTGCTAGATGCAAAATTTCACGCTCTATCCAATGGTATAAGTTTCTGACAGCCTCGCCGTCCAAAAAGTCGGGGTTTCTGGCCAAATACCATTCCAAAAACCACTTTTTTACGTTATCTTCTATCCCGATTCGAAAATCGACCTGTGCTGTTTCCATAGTTTTTGTGCTGGATGCATAATTTTATTCTCTATCGAATGGTAACAACTTCGGCCAGGGTCGTTGACCAAAAAACCGGGTCTACCACCAAAAAACCGATTTTCCCTCCATGTGACCAATTCGCAAAAGATGTAATTCCTATCCCGATTCGCGCATACACCTGTGCTGTTTCCCTGTTTCCTTGTGTCAGATGCAAAATTTTACGCTCTATCCAATGGTATTAGTTTCCGATAGCATTGCCGTCCGAAAAGTTAGAGTTTCAGGCCAAATACCATCCCAAAATCACTTTTTCACATTATTTCCTGTCCCGATTCGAAAATCCACCTGTGCTATTTCCCTAGTTGCTTGTGCTGGGTGTAGAATTTAATTCTCTATCGAATGGTAGTATTTTCAGGTAAAAGAAAAGTAAGAAACGCGAGTTTATTGGCCGATACCTACCCGAATCCACCCTGTTACGAAACCTTGCTGGTTATGGATTGGGGTAGGTATCAACCTATTAACTCGCGTTCCTTACATTTGTTTTACCTGAAAATACCACCATTCGATAGAGAATTAAATTCTACATTCAGCACAAGGCACCCGAGAGAGAGCACAACGTCGCAGATCGAGATAAGCAGCAAGGTTTGCTGGAAGGGCGGCTCGGGGTTGGTATCAGCCCACTCACGCGGACACCCGTCGGTGGTTTCACTCGAAAATTCCACCATTCGATAGAGAATTAAATTCTGCAACCAGCACAAGCAACTAGGAAAATAGCACAGGCGGATTTTCGAATCGGGGCAGGAGATAATGTAAAAAAGTGGTTTTGGGATGGTATTTGGCCTGAAACTCTAACTTTTTGGACGACGAGGCTATCGAAAGCTTATACCATTAGATAGAGCGTAAAAATCTGCATCGAGCACAAGCAAAGAGGGAAACAGCACAGGTGTATGCGCGAATCGGGACAGGAATTATATCTTTTCCGAATTCGTCACACGAAGGGAAAATCAGTTTTTTGGTGGTTGACACTATTTTTTGGTCGACGACCTTGGTCGAAGTTGTTACCATTCGATAGAGAATTCAATTCCGCATCCAGCACAATCAAGTAGGAAAACAGCACAGACGTAGGGGCGAATAAGGACAGGAAATACGCGAATCTGGTGCTAACATTACTCACGTATGTACAACAACCATTTAACATTCTTTTCATGCAAATACCCAATGTGGGATTATTATTGAACTGTATTAAGAGAAACGTATATATCATCAGAATATATTCATAGTCAACTACTACAAAAAAATCGATGTTCGTCAGTTCTTGATCTTTTTTATGTTACGTTTCGTCAGTATAAATATTTACATCAGGTGAAATATTATCCATTTTTATATCGTCAAGATTCACAATTGATGTGCTTTTATGATAATTGTTTCCAATTTAATAAGACGATAAAATATGATTGTAGTGGAAAAAAATCTTTGCTATAATGATGGTCAATGCTTTCTAAACAATGAAACCTGTTCAATAACATTTGTTGGTGTGTGCAATGATTGTTACTATGGAGAACAATGTCCATTTTTAACAAAAGGTTTTATTTTCTCACTTGATCCGATTCTTGGATATCATATTAAACCAAATATTTCATTTCATCAACAACCATTTATTATTAAATTCAGCATTTTTATCACTTCAATTATGTTAATTTCAGAATTCATCATGGGTTCATTATCTATAGCAACATTTCAAGTAAAAAAATCAAGAGAAGTTGGTCGTGGTTATTATCTTTTAGTATCATCGATTAGTTCAATGTGTATGATTATTATGTTAACAATTAAATTTTGGCAACTTGTTCTGTCACAAATGTCAATCATAACTAATAGATCATTACTTTTGTTTAATTGTATTTCAATTGAAATAATTCTTAAACCTTGTTTAGCATCAAGTGAATGGCTTAATGCTTGTTCTAGCAATATAAAGACTGTTTAGTGTCATTAAAGGTATGGCATTTAACAAAAAAAAAGAGCAGAACAATGGCTAAACAAATGACTGTTGTTGTTATTATTTTAACGATACTGTCACATATTCATGGTCCACTTCATCGAAAATTGATTAATGATTTAGATGGAAATCAACAAAGAATATGGTGTTTATCTCAATACTCATCCGCAGTAACTAAATACAACACATTTATTACTCTCTTTCATTTTCTTGTTCCTTTTTCAACCAATTCGATATCTGCTTTAGTACATATTATAGTAGCAGGTGTTAGTCGTTGTAAAGTGGAATCAAAACAATCATTCAAGCAACATTTACAATTAAAATTTAAACAGCGCAAACACATTAATTGCACCTAGTATTTTACTATTAGTAGGTTTGCCACGTCTTATTATTTCATTCACATCTGGATGTATGAGATTACCATGTGAATCTTGGTTATTTTTGATGGGCTATATCGTATCCTTTATACCATCAATGTTAACATTATTTGTGTTTGTTTTACCGTCAAAAACTTACAAAACTGAATTAAAAAAAAACAATACAACAATGGATTCGACGACTCCGTCAATGATCTTTATCTATTTTATGCTTCAACATCATAGATATATGTCATACACTATCGTTGTCTATTTTTCTTAGTTGATCATACTTTTTAGATCTCTAAAATAAAAATGTGAAATAGTTGAATTATCCAGATTTTAATTGTTTCATTAAATCATCTCATAGTTGCTTTTGGTCGAAGATAAATCAGAACTATGATTGTCAACTATTATGTTGTAATCTTGTGACTAAAATATTAAATTACTACATTCTCTAACCAGTCGGACAAAGAAGATATCAAAAGAAAATGGAAAAAAGTAGACTGAAATGTTCTTGAAAAGACACACCCATTTAAAAACATCTTTTTTGTGACCGGAAGTGTTTTAGCTAATAGTTGAAGTTCTCAAATATCTGTTTTATTGTGAGGTTGGTATATGTCTGGATATAGATGTGAATGACGCTCGGATGTGCAAGCCTTCTCTCCTAAAATATCCATACATGACATCCGCTCTCACATCATATCCACTCCTTTTAGGAACACAAACAGCATCGTTTTACAGGAGTTCGATTTGAAAATAGGTCTGACTAATAACATTAGAAGATTGTGAAAATATCAGAACAAACAAGTGCTATGGGAGTGTGAGAATACAAGTAAAGAGTAGTCACACATCGTTGACGATAATTTCAGACAATATATGAATAATTAGATTTTGATTTGTTTATTTATTTACTGTCGTGGGTTAGTATTTTACGTTTCAATACGCATAAACTAAATATTGTCTGGAATTTCTATATTACTTCATTAGCAACAAGGACTTAAAATCTTTGACAATATATCTGATGAAGTCATTTCAATAATAATGCTGCTGCTATCCTCTCAAACAGCATAAGCTCATGTACAGCATTTGTTTCTTCACCTGAATAAGATGCAGGGAAACAGGGTAGCAAAAAGAATAGTGCAATGTCATTCTCATGCAAAAAATCTAATCTTAATGGGATTATCAACTGCGTTTCACAGATCTTTGTAGATAGTCATTATAGAAAATAGAATGAATCTGGCAAACTACAGCGTCTGTTTATATAATGTACTACCTATCTATTCTGACTCTTACAATACAGTCTATAGAAATATTAGCTTGTCATCTGTTTACGAATCTATGAAAAAGAATAGACAAGGTGCACTGTAGAATAAAATCAGAATTTGTAGTCTACAGTCTACATTGTAACGATAAGATAATATCTCAAGTATTTTCGATCTATTGAATTTCGAAACCATGGATCAGAAAAATGGCCAGGAACAACAAGTCTTATGGAAAGGTTTTCATATTTACAAAATATCGAAGTAATAAGCGTTGCAAAAGTCTTTGGAAAAATGTCAGACAGTGTTAGGCTATATTGCAGACTTCTGAATCAATCAATTTTTTTTTGTTAGAAAGAGCAATGTCTGAACTACAAATTTTGTAGCAGACATATTTTTCCAGAACGAATCTAAGAAGGAGAAAAAGCTCAAAAAGCAAACACCTCTAAAGAGTTCTTGCAACACTTTCGCAACTTGAAAAGCCTGTATTTCTCAATTGTTTTGAGCTACACTGGATCAATTTTGAACACAAAGTACACCGAAATGTAGCGGATCAAAAACTCTATCAATACCAGCTTTGAGGAGTTTCTTTGGATCTGCTCTTGACTCTTTAATTAAAAAAGTTTGAAATATGAAATCTTTGGAAAATTGAGTTTTTGGCAAGAACCATCGATTTACAAAAACGTCAGCCACCATCTCCAGAAATCACATATGAAGTCAATTCTTTTTGCGTTATTTGATCGAAATATGTCCAATCGTAGAACTTTAGCAGAAAAAAATAATTCATTAAAATACCTTTATCATTGTAAAATGCTCAAGTAGTCAGAACGGCCAAATTACTAAGTGTCTTTCAGAAAAGGCTATTTATTGATATAGAAACCAAAAATAAATTGAGCTTTCAATACACCATTCGAAAGAGCACTCTTTGTGCTACAAAAAGTCATCATTGAACGTGGTTTCTGGTTTTGTCCTCTAATACAAAAAACTAATAATAAATAGAAAATGATGTTGCTCGATGGTGAAGTTACAAGAACTTTTTAGAGGTGTTTGCTTTTTGAGCTTTTTCTCCTTCTCAGATTCGTTCTGGAAAAATATGTCTGCTACAAAATTTGTAGTTCAGACATTGCTCTTTCTAACAAAAAAAAAATTGATTGGTTCAGAAGTCTGCAATATAGCCTAACACTGTCTGACATTTTTCCAAAGACTTTTGCAACGTTTATTATTTGACGATTGAGAAATAATTCTCACGTGTTCATTATGTAATAAAGAGCTAAACTAACAGTTTACAGGATTTGATAAAAAGTTCTTTCTCTTTAATGACATTGTGTAAAGTAAACGTTCTCGAGTTTCATATCATATTGAAAATAAGAAAAAGAACGTCTAAAAATATTAATACGAGGGTATTGATTGTTTTGACATTTGTTTTAAAAATGTTTTCACTAAATAAATAAATTGATTATTTATCTAGTTCTTTCTACAAAATTAGTTTTGTAGGGATCGGCTATTTACATATTTCGTGCACTTCTTAACATCATTTTTGTGGAACTCCCATATATTTTCGAAGAAAATAGTGAGTTTAAGTTTTTAAGGTCAAGTTTTCGAGGCTCTCCGCCCCCTTCCCCCCCCCCCCCCCCGCCCCCTAACCAACCCTGCCAACC